AAAAAAAAAAGGTGGGGGGGGGCTACTTCTTAGTCCTCAGATTTAAAGAATGCCATGAAGGTTTCTAGAAAAAGTTCTACAACCAAAAAGTAGGATTTCCTTACTTGAACGTGCTTAATCTGCAACTGAGAAACTCTGAAAGAACAGGCCCAAGGGTCTTCCACTAGGACTGTAAACTCTACAAGGGCAAGTAGTTTTGCCTTTGTTCTGTCAGTTTATTCACTCCCTGACACAGCAGGAGCTCAACGTATTTACTGAACGGAATCTATGAACAACTTGCCGTGTGAATACTAATGTTAAGTAAATCCAGTTACTGCATGTTAAATATATTCCAACAGAGACCAGCTCTGTCTTTCGGCTGGAGTAGATGTAAAGAAATTTTTGTTTTGTGCCCTGGCCAAGTAGCTCGGTTGGTTAGAGCATCGTCCCAATATGCCAAGGTTGATGGTTCGATCCCTGATAAGGATAAGGGCACATACAAGAATCAACCAATGAACTGTAAGTGGAACAAACAAATGTATCTCTGTTTCTCTCTCTCTCTCTCAAATCAATCAATAAATAAAATAAAATAATAAAGACATTTTCACTTTGCTTCTAAAGCAGATCTTGCTCATGACTGGGCAATTTATTCACAGAGCACCAAGGAAAAATATGTGTCTGCTGCCAGCTGTTAAGAATCACAGATCATAAAACCTTAGAAGTAAATATATCACGGATATGAACTTAATGTTTTATGCTTTCTTCTTGCGTAAAGAAGCTGGTGCACTTCATAGGAAAGAGTACTTATAGGAAGTAGTTTCCTGTCCCTGAAACCCGGTTATTTCAACATGGCAGCTGTTTAAAACCCCACGTTACCATAGGGTTTTCAAGACAGGAAGCAATAGTGGCACACCTAGCTGAGCGCAGGGGAGAACAAGCAGCAGAGAGGAAACAACATGCCCAAAGAGAACAGGCCTTGGAGGTTAGCTGGCAAAGTATAAAAATAATGAGCCAATTTCTCTAACGCTTCTTATAAATGAATTTACCTGTTCATGGTAATAGAAAGAGAAAAATGAAGGGCATAGAATCAAGTAGCACCTTCCTAGGTCACCAACTGCTCCCCCTTTTTCCATCATTAATTTTCTTCCCATTTTAATGACTCTTAAAGAAAAGAAATTGGAAAGAACTTGATTGTGCTTAAAAGGGAGTTGACCACGATGACTTTCCTCCTCTACTTTCTAATTCCTAAATTTTCTAATTTTTCTACAGCGAGTGTCCCCTCTTGTTATGAGAAAATAATATTTATGTTTAAAGAAATTACAGAGCTAAAAAGTTTATGTTCTAAAAAGAAAACCACATTAAAAAATCCTTTATCCAAAAAAAGAACAGCAAAAAATTCAATAATACCAAACCATCCAATCTTCTCACTCAACAAATTGCCTTAACCCCTTTCCTCTTCAACCACCAGTATATCTAACAACTCATTTATTTAAAAAAATCATGTCTTTTTTTAAAATTTATCTTTATTGGTGGAAGTATTACAGATGTCCCCTTTTTACCCCCACTGATCCCTTCACCCCGGCATCCGCCCCCTCCCCAGGCAAAAATCATGTCTTCATAATAGTTACAATTTGTGTTGCACTCACAGTTTCCATGCATTATTTATCTGATTCTTTCCAACACATCTGTGAGATGGCCACTGTGAATATTTTTAGTTCAATTTTACAGATGAGTAAAATAGGGGCTGAAGTGAAACAATTCGCCATGACAGAAGCCTGGATCTTCTTGTACCCAACCTGGCATTCCAAAACAGGATTTCTCAACCCCAGCACTACAGATATGTTGTAGGAAGCTGCTCCATATATTATAGGATGTTTAGCAGCAGCATCCTCTCCTCTACTCACTATATATATAAGTAACAATGCCTCCTCCCACTCCCACCCCAAGTTATAACAATAAAAAGTGTCTCCAGAAACTACAAATATCTCCTTGGATGCAAAAATCATACCCAGTTGAAAAACACTGGTCTAAAAGAATCCAAGATGTTCCTTCTGGCATCTCTATGAAAAGGCTCCATATACCACTGAGCCACAATAAATCACAGTGCATTACATGATGCTTGCTCAGCAAGATTCAGTTAATTAACCAATCCCCCATCCACTTAAAACAACTTTTTTAAATGTGGAAATGAGCAAGAAAATCTCCTTGTACAAATATTCACATCTTAAATGATGAATCTAAAAGCATGTTATCTCATTATAACATAATAAGGATATACATAATAAATATATATAAAATAAATGTGTTGTGTTTAGGAGGAAAAACTTACCAGAGGAGTTAGAAAACAGATCTTGTCTTTGCTAATAAGCTTTCTTAATGCAATCATACCTACTGTTCCCTGTATAAAAGTGAGTAGATATAAACCTATACATGTCATCTGGGTTTCTATCCAAATATATGCTACTTAAAGCTATTCAGAAGAAACTAAGCGATAACTTTGGAACATTACTAGAATTTATGGTCTGAACCACTAATGTTTGTGAACCCAGAATCTACACGGCCAACCTCACAATCCTATTTAGACACAAAGTTTAAGTTTCTTCATGACATTTAATCTGAGGCTTTATTCCTGCAAAAGCAACTCCACCCTCAAATTTCATTATTTTCACCAGCCTTTTAACACATGCCTGAATTGAAAAGATCTTGCAACCTAATTCCTTTAACACCTTAAATCTGGAAAGGGTGGATACCAACCCAACAGAGAGATAATTACAAGTACCTGCATAGCATTAGCCAAAATGATATTAAGACTACCCAAATTAAAACTGTAAATTGAAATATAGTTATACTTCGGGAAATGTTTGAATTATTTAATCTATGTATATATAACGTATTCACCCTTTATCACAATTTCCCAATAGTAATAATTAGTATATTGTGGACTGGGGAAACTATTTAAACTGGTTTTTACTTAACAGAGTGTCACACTGCAATCCTAGTATTAAAATATACATTTTGCAGCTATTTATTGAAACTAAGACACCAAGAAACTGGTTAATATGATATATAAAATCAAGAGGTTGTATTCCTATTCATAATGTCCACAAATACTCAGGTATGATGTACTTACATCTTTAAATGTAATCTGAATCTATACATAGGAGACATTTTCTCCATAATACAAAGCATACTGTACCCAAAGTGATTGGTCTCCATTAACCTTCACCACAAAGTACAAAAGCACACATTGATCCTTCAGTGAAAACAACTCTCAGGTCTTGGTAAACATTAGAGTCACCAAAAGCAAAAGCAAGAAACAACACAAAATGGGGTTTTGAAAACAAAGAACAAAGGTTCAATCAATATAAAATGCTCATTTTTAAAATTTTTTCACCACTGTGTATATGGCCATGCTAGAATCTTTTTCTTAAAAAAGTCAATAATCAAACTCCATGATGACATCTATTGTTTCTGCATTATTCTCATAACTTAACTTTCCAAGGTTGTTAATCCTTTCCTCCCCCAAAAGTAATGACAATTTTGTACAGCTGTAAACGCCTGCCACTAGGAGAAAAACCGTGACTCTAAAAAGAAAATCTTAATAACACGTAGCCAACCGGGGGCAGAAGGCAGCTCACAGACACGTATTAAAAGAAGTAGCAGGGAGGTCGGGGGCTTCACGGAGGATAGACATACAATCCCAAAACAATGTACATAAACACCTGGCAACAATCCCACCTTTTATCTAGTCCCCCCGGGGAAGTTCCTTGGTAAACACGCGCCAGGAGCCCACATTTCTGGAACCTTGGAGAGTGACTTGTGGGGGGAGTTGACTACTCCTGCGACGTCTTTCTGATGCTAGCCGACCGCGCAGACGGGGTCTGAGGAGGGCGGGGGCCAGAGCCCAGCCCCAATTTCGGTTAATCTGTCCTTTCACAGGAGAATCCGCAGCTGCCCAGGTGGCTGGCTCCCTCGCGCTCTCTCTTCCTCTTCCCCGGCCCTCCGGCGTCTTTAGCCCTCCGCGCTGGCCGCCTAAGGCCCGGGTCCCAACAAAGCCTCCAGGCGGAGGGGGCGTTTCCTGAGTCCACCGACGCCGCCCCCGCAGCCCCAGCCACCGAAAGCACGGTCCCGAAGCCCAGGAACTCTCCTTCGCCGACCTCGTAAAGGAGGAAAACCGCTAAGACCCTCAGCCTCCAATCCGAGGCCAGAAAAAAAAAACTCCTCGGGCCCCCCGGCAATTCTACCAGAGCGCAGGCGGTCACATTCTCCGTGCGACGAGGGACGTCAAACCTCAAGCCCGCGCCTGAATCTCAGGGTGGTATAAACAGGATGTCAGCGCGCTCCAGGCTTGTTTATGAAAACTTGGTGTGCGCTCTAGGGGAGGGGGCGGCGAGCCTGCACCTTTCCCGTCCCGGCCTCGGGCCCCTGCCCCGCGACCTCTCGGCGGCCAGCCCACTCCGCTCGGCTGGAAATCCCCCGCCT